TATCGGTGTATCAATAAAGTAGTCAGTAGGGAGACAGAAGCACTATTCTAGGCTAAGTTGTTTTTTACCATGGCAGAAATTTTGACTTCCTGTTGTGCAGTTTCTGTATATTCTAGTAAGCGTATGCTTTGTAGGTCAAGCATGAATTTTTTGTCTTAGATTTATAAACTTCTTACTCGATTAATATTTTTGTCTAAGGTTTTTTGGAGGACTATGGCGACCTTATAAATATACCACGTATTACTTGAACTAACGGAAATTTTTTAAAACATAAATTGAATCCAAAAAATCTATTGTTTGGAGTCAATATTATGAAATAGAATCAATTGTTTGATTTGTTTTGAAAATTTTAAAAGTTAGCTTTTGTTATTTTCAGATTAGAAATTTATCGGTGCATTCCAATAGGATTTGGAAAACATCCGTGTTCAGTGACCCGTTGGGAGCAAACTGGCAGATAGGTTATAAATAAATACATAAGTGTACTTAAAATTCATTGCTTCTTCATGATTGCCTAGTTTTGCTGGCTATTTGCACCAGCCTCATCAAGCTAAACAAAATAGCGAACAATAGACTAAAAGTACACAATGCCAATCATCACGCTTACGTAGACGGCAAACCAAAGGTAGACGAGAGAAGTTGAATATGTTAAAATATATAAGGACTTATAAGCTGTATTATAAATTTGTATACATTATAATTCAATTACAGATACTTTCATGTATGCTACAGAATCTACACTTTTTCTTGCTGATTTGATGACATTCTAACTAGTTATAACTATGTTCTGCGTCCAAATGTAATATTGCGAGCCTTTAGAAAAAGCTTACGTGTTTGGCAAAAGACCTTAGAAATGTAATTAATTGTTTAACATAGCTTTATAAGACATAAAAATTATTCTTCTTGCACACTAGGTAGCACACTCTTCTGCAAGCTTGCATGCCGACATTTAATCTTTTAATAAAACACTATTGCTCTTCTGATTAGTATTCAAATAATGTAGTTTATTAATTTTGCAAACATTGTAGCTTAGTCTAGTTCCAATATATTTAAGTGAAATTTTCTATAAGATAATGCCAAAATTTAAAATCATAAAAATTTTCGTGCTACAAGTTAGATTAAATTAAATGCATAAACACTGAGAAATTTATAGACTGGAGACGAAAAAAATTTGATAAGTTAAATTAATAATTGTACTTTAACATTCTGGGTGGACGTTTCTTTTATTTTTTATTTCAAATGATTACAACGAAAAAATTAAGAAAATATTTTGTAAAAAAATTTCAGGTTACTTTGATTGTATATAATCCTTTAGTAATCTATTTCAATTCTCTTAGTTGTTTTTATTGCGATCTTGGTACATAATGTTGTCATTATTATACAGGTATGTTAAATTATAAAAATCATTTTATGANTTAAATTACGTACCTGATCAAGACTTTGCTATTATATAACTGTACATACTGAAACGTTGTTAATTATTAAAAATAAAAAAAATTTTAATAACATTATCATCCAAGTCATTGTTATTCTACATTAATCATCAGCTATCTTTCGATCCTTAAAGAATTGAAATTCTTGGCAGCTGAGACCACAACGTCAGTGAAGTGCAGCCTTGCCCTCAGGAAAGAAACCTCGTGGTAAGCTGAGGGGCATCTGGATTAGCGTCACTAATGTTGGGAGATACTTTAGTACAAGATCAACTTGTGTTTATTGGGTTACTAAAAGAATGATGACTGCACAAAGAGGCAGGCATAGATCGACTGACTGCAACAGCATAGTAACAGTAGCACTGGAGAGACTATACGTTTTCTCTTTTTACCTATAGGCTAGGTACATATTCGACATTCGGGATTCTTCTGTCACAAACAGAGAATAAAATTCAGAAAAATTTTATAGTTAATTATAATACGTTAAATTCTAGATTTAAAGAGCATTTTTTTAACTATAAAGTATATCAGAAACAAAATTGGGATTATGACGACGCTCTGAAGTACAAATGGATTTTTATTTTGTATAAACTTAGTATAAATATCATTTAACTTTTGGAATGTTTCAAAGATAATAAGTTTAAAATTTTTTTACAAAAAAAAAAAATTTAAACATAATTCAATTATCGAACTGTTAAAAGATTTAAATATTTCTTTGGTAGAGGAACTTTTAATAAGTATTTTTGCAATTTGAACGCAGTGTTACACAAAGTTCCTCAAACTATTATATATTTTGATAAGCTGATAGAAAGCTTTATACAACAAATTAGTAATTAACTCTGACATGTGTTCATAAACTACTGAGCTTTTCTGATTTATTTACACAGCTAACCAAAATCTATGATAAGACTTTTGCAACCACCTGAAAGATAGCAACTTGTTCCCACATGAAATATAATTAAATAGTACCAGCCACGGTAGCACGGTGGTATAAGTAATTGATCACATCAAATCTGAGGCAGTTTTTTAATATGCCAATGACGATAGCATATACATTCAGAGCAGCACAGCAATGCAGATCTCATTAGGCATAGTTCTTAGAAATGGCTGTAAAATATGAGAAACATTATTAATATTTATAGTAACAAATACTAGAAATTCTTATTTTTCTAAGATTTATTGCTTTTTTTATCATTTTGGAAGACAGAAATTTGCTACCACGTACTCTGAGCTCTCAGTATTGATATTAGCTTCTCCTAAACGGTTGTCATAGATCTTGATTGAGTTTATTCAAAACGGATAAAGCAGTTATTCACCTTCTTTATAAATTTATATTTCTCATAACTAAAATATTTTGATTTGCATGATAACAACATAGTCAATGCTTTTTATATTACAGATTTTCTATTAGTATGCCACAAGACTTAATACAAATGATTAAGTCAGTATTAACAGTGTTCTACTAAAGCCACTAGACCAAACTTGTTACCGTCCAGAATATTATTGTATTAATTATTATTAAAATAAAACCTTATGACTAATTATCAACGTTTTCATTCATTGGATTATCAAACATCCTGTCTAATTCAAATTTTAAGCTGCGAACCGCAAACTACCACCCATACCCGCTGGGTGGCAACCATTCACTGCAAGTACTAAATCGGTTTTTAGTGTATAAGAGGTACTACATGGCTGCTCCAAATAATACGCCCACACCAGCAAACCTTTTATATTTACTCAATCCTTACTCATTCAGCAAAATCTCGACATACACAGCCGTGGCCAGTATAAATTCCATAAGAATCACTGAACGATAATACCGCATCCTCGCTGTGTTCTCTCTCCTTTTTTTCACCCACTATATTCCTATTTGCTTTGGCTCAACTGTTAAAGAACTATGGGCATAAAATATTGATCACGCTAGCAACCACCCCATCTCGTCTGCTGTGTGCCACCACTAAATCACCTCTTTAGTTTTACGGCAATTCTAATTCTAACAGATACAAATGTCATAGTACGTCTAGAGATTCCTAGTCAGAGCACCAGACCGAAAAAAAAGAAAGAAGTAGTGATCTTTTAAAACAATACGATATTTAGCTTCAAATTTAAAGGCAAATTACACGTATAACGACACCCTTACTCGTCTATTTTGACGGAGATACGTGTCATTATTTTTATTACAAAATAACTTTGTAATCGGCTTTTTTGGTTTTTATGAAATATCTCACAGAGTTCTGATTTTTAAGAAAAACTTAAAGCACAAAAGTTCTTAATCTGATTATTCTGCCCAAGAATGAAGTATAAACAAAAATAAGAAGAATTTTTTCATTGTTTACACAAGTAAGAAAACAAAAATTACGAAAAATGATACAATGCATGAAATTATACGTTGCACTATTCAAAATTGAATAAAAATCAAGCATTTTACAGACTTTAGTATGATTTCCATTGTACGCCTGATCGTAAAATTTCCGAGTCGCAGCTTGTTGTAAAATTATAAGAATTTTGATTATGTGTAAAATGTGTCATGGCACGCAATTGACATCTTACTTTTTGGAGTCTGTGTAGAATAAACATTTTCTTTTCTACTTTTAAATTTGGATTTGTAAGCCAAACAAATAAAAAAGTTATAAACAAAAAACCACAAATACAAGGCCGTAATATCTCTTGTTTTGAACTTAAACAGAAACAACTTTGTGTAAGTGACTACAGTTACTTCTATATGAACTTCAAAAAAAAGTTTCTATAGGACCAATAGAACCTAAGATACGATACTTTTAGTTTTTTACACATTCTGGCCGTTATATTTGAATTTTCGACCTTGGACCTGCATACTCTTTTTAGTAACGGTTTACTGTATCATACAAAACTTGCTTCTTATCGATTTGGTCAACCCTTTTACATATAACAAACAAAATATTATTACTAACTATTAAAATACACGACTTTGTTTCAACCTTAAGTATAAGCAAATGTTTAGAATTGAAAAAATTGTGTTTATTTGTTGGATAGCCTCTTATGTTATTTATAAGCATTAATTAAATGTAAATTTTCATCACGTGACTTATTACAGGAACCATTTGAATTGTCCGGTACGTATCTAAGTAACATGCAACGTATCATTAATTTAAAGTCAACGAAATATTAATTTTGACAAAAACAACTGAAATATCAATTTTTTAAATTTTACTTTTTCTCCATGAATTGATGCATTTATTCAAGCTTCATGCAAGGCAATGTATAACTAGTATTTAATTAGATGAGATTAAAACAAATGTATTTCTGTAGCTATTTTATGCACATAAAATCTACTGTGATATAATTTGCACTGTCTAAACCTTCGAAAATGACAAAACAAAATTCATACCCTTCAGTTTGGTTTACTTCACTGAGAATCAGCTGTAAGGATAAGTGACTTGCTTTATGACCCAGGGTAACCATGTGGAATGATAATAACAGTTTTAAAAGTATTTCACTACTTGAGAAACAACTGAAATTGAAACTGAAGTTCTTTTGATAACGTAATAAAATGAAACTAAAATTCGCGGAAAAATTTTAAGAACTTTAGCCTACCAATTTCAGTGAGAGCAAATTTTGCTCCTTGCGTTCTTCTTGCAGCAGCATTAATTTCGGGTTCATCAAAAAATTGGGTTTGTTCTAAAGAAATATCCATAACTAAAGGTCTTCCAAGCCCACTGCTATTCAATATACCACTTGAGTTACTTCTCAGGGATGCCAAGCTTTCGGCTTCTTTTTGTCGGTGGCTAAGTGTCATGATTCCATTAAAGACATCTGATTCTCCATTAGAAACAATGATGCGTGGTGACAATTCTGGATCAGAGCACAAAAACATACACAAATTGCTAATTATCTGGAAAAAAAAAAAAATAAATTATTCTCAAGAAAAATACATGTACCACAAAAATTAAAGCACCCAACTTTCATATTGGATGCACGAATTTCTTGTGTATAAATAGTTCACTAAAATAAAATTGTATTAAAATTTCGAAAATATTTAAAAACCGGGAGTTTTATGTTTGATTTAAGCATGACTATTTTGCAATATTAACATCTATTTTGGCACTCAAGGTACTTGTGTTACTTGGGAATCGTAAAGCTTGGGAATGTAAGAGGATAGAATACACGTGAAAGAAAGTTTTATATCCATTTATTCGTGGATCAAAGCGAAAGCAGTCGCGTGCGAGGTGTTAGGTTCGGAGGCTGATCGGAGAGAGCGGGCAAGAGAGCTGATAACGTGGTCATCGTCCTCGATGGCCATACTGGTTTGTGTGTATGAGTGTATTTGTGTTATGTTGTCTGTGAATTTTATGTTACTTGTGTATACATAATTTTTTTGTTTGCGCTGCTCTCTTTACATTATTATTGTATAATTATATTCTTTTTATGCTCATTATTTATTCATTTATTCTTTTTATTTTTATTTATTTTTTGTTTTTTTATTTTATTATCTTTTTTTTCCAAATCTGCACACATTTTACGTATAACCCTTTTTATTACATCGTCGACCTCAATGATCATCGCGGATTGGTTGTTAACTGAGCCGGTTGTCTTCTACCTTCTGATCCTACCCGCCCACCTAGTAGCACTTGTACCTCTCGTGCGTTAACCATGGCCCTCTGAGTTAACAAGTCTTGTAGTACCGAGTTGGTGTTCGACGGTTCCTCTCCCGTCTGCCTGCAATAATTCTCAAACCTTTAAGTATTATTGGACCCCCCCATTTTGAAAATCCAAAAGATCCAGCTGCCACTCCTAGTACTATTTCCGCTGCCATCAATGCGTATTCTTTCCAATTTGAGAATTTCTCCTTCGTTTGTACTAACTCGTGTGCCTCTTGGAATATATCCACTAGCTTTGTACCTGTTTTTATCCTATCGTCAAGTCCGTGCTCCTAGTTATCGAGCTCCTGTAATCCGTCTCTTCTTATCACTGCTTCTATTAGTTCCAATAACATACCTCCTTCAGCCCCTTTTACCTTTTGTATTATATCCTTCAAGTTTAGGTTTACGCTTTCAAGCTTCATTATGCGATTTTCATTTTCCTCTTGTCCTGGATCCAGTCTTGTATCCGATGCTTCAGCTATACAGTCTCTTGCTAAGCGGACTACCCCAGAATCCACCACCTTCAGTATCTTGTGTTCGGAGTGATTACACTGTACGTGGACTTTGTCCTTTCTAGTGGTGGTAAAGGCATGTTGGTTTTTAGCATGGAGACGTGTCTAAAATGTGCCCTTTAACTTGGCTAATTTTATTGAACATTCTTCGGGTTTCTTTACTGCAATCGCTAAGTGATACGTATTTCACAGGGCTGGTCCTCTTCGACCTCCTGTGTTGGCTCCATTTGTGTGCATATTCGTGTTCTTCCTAGTCTTTTACATAGTTTTATCACCTTTTGCGGTATTGGCGTAAATCTTCTCTCATTAACACTGCTCGCTATGTATTCGTATGTTGGCTGCAAGTATGCCACTGAATCCGTAGTATTTAAGCCTTTTTGTTCCACTGGCAATGATGATATTCTAAGAAGGTCCGAATTTTCTTTCGTAACCAGTGGTATCCAAATGTAATATATTATTCTGCCGTTAAATACCATGGTCGCTATTCCTGAAATTTCTCCAATTTCCTCATCTGTAGTTGTATTTTCCCTTACTGGGAACTGTAGATCTGGTCTCAGCTGCTCTGCCAAAATTTTCGCTTCCAAAATCGCTCTTAATGCCGCATCTGGTATATGTGTCGTTCCGCGACTCGCCAAGTATATTATGTCCACCGTTGTTCCAAATTTTGTTATAAGTTTCTCGGCTAAATGTTCAAATTCGCCCATTATTTCTGTAACTCTGTCATGATCGCTGAAGTATTTTGCAAACATTTTTAAACCTTGCTCCATTATTCTCCCAGCTTTATCTTTAAACGTTTGTATACCCTGAAGGTATCGTTCATGGTTTCCATATGTTATGACTCTAATTTTTTCCGTTAAGTACTTGGTTGTTTCTATTGTGTTAGTCGGGATCGCCTCTACTAGCTTTTGTATTTTCTCTTTTTCCGCGTCAGTCACAACCCTCTGCAGCGCTTGCACCGTCTTGATCCGATCACCGATCTTTTGGTCTGCTACTGTTCTATATGCCTCTTTTACCCAATCCAAGGCTCTTAGGACTTTTTCTGTTGTGTACTCTACTTGTTCTATATATTCGTGTTCCTTTTTTACCGTCACCTTGCATTTCCACTTTGTTTGCCTTTTCGCGGCTAAAAACAAATTTACCTCCTCGACAACGTCATTCCAATCTACATACCATATCATTTTCCAAGTTGATGCGACTGCTTGGACTGAGCCCAAGCTCTCTACCAATATTCCAGGGTTTCTTTCAATTTCCTCTATCTCTCTTGGTTGCTGTGTCACCAGGATGATTCCAGCCCTTAAAAACAATATTTGTATTTTTTTTTGTTTATACAGTTGAATGACTGCTGATCTCGTAAGTCGTCCGAAGGCCACGCTTACGAGAGAAGTACACTATTTTGGTCTTGTTGCCTCTGACATCTCGTTTTTAATTTGCCTTTTACTCTTATGTGATTTGTTTTTGTTATCCTGCTTTGTTCCTCGAGTTCCCTATTATCTAATTATCTAACAGTTGGGTTTTTATAACGCATGTTTTCTTCATTTTATCCACGTGTGTAATTCATTGCCACGTTTCAGTGTCATATGGTGGTTCTTGTAATTTATTCCTACGATTTTTGTATGGTCCTTCGTAGTGATCCTCATATTTCTTTCTCGGCTCTTTAAGAACATAGAACACTTCCCCTTCCATGAAAAATCTTGTGTTCAATTTTTTGTCGTTATAATATTTGGGCCAGCTTAGATTCTATAGATTCTTATAGATTCTAGCTGGGTGGCCCAGCAAAACTTCTTGAGGCGCTATCCCTGTTGCTGAGTGTTTTGTCGAATTGTAAGCTCACATGCACATGCCCAAATGATCGTCCCAAAAGTCGTCTTCATGTACGTACGCCTTTAAATATTCCGTTAATGTATGATGCATTCGTTCTATTGCGCCGTTACTCTGTGGATGGAAGGCTGTTGTTCCCATTTTGTCTATTTTAAATACTCTTGCGGACTCTTCCAACAGTTTGTTTTGGAAATGTGCATCTCTGTCTGACAGCTCTTTTTCTAGGGCACCAAAGTATGCAATTACTCTGTTTAAAAGTGCTTTTGCTGTTTCTAAAGCCATCGCTCTTTTTACTGGTAAAAGAATTATGTATTTCGTGAGCCAGTCCTAAATTGACAATATGTGACTATTGCCATGTGCCGATGGTTTGTTTATCGGGCCATAAAAATCATGGCTGTTGGATTTATATAACCTTTCTCGTGAAGCGCATCTATGGCTTCTGTGTCCGGTATGTACAGAAGGCTAAGTTGTCAATGTATCTAAATGGGTGTTTGTTTATTTTCTTAAGCCTTTGGAATGGTGGTATATCATTATCTTCCTCTGGCTTCCAGGGTGGTTTTTGGACTGGTAGTCGTGTCCTGCAAGCTCTGTACCTATCTAAACCTGGTACACTTATAATGATTTTGCCATCATCCGTGCTTTCGGCATTACCATCTGCCCCCATGTTCTCATTAAGTAACGCTTTTCCATTTTCAATATCACTACTCTCTTTTTCGTGGCTTTCATTGTTTACGTCGTCATCCAATATTTTTGGTGTTTCTTGTTCCGCTATTGGGCTTGGCTCATCCGGTGGTTACGGTGGGGGTGGTGGTGGATCGCGCTTCTTTGGTATTTATTTTTCTTTTGATTCAAAATCTGACCCATTACTCGTCTCATGATCTGTTTTGTTTTCTTCCTTTGTTTTCTTACTAACTCTACCCTTGATTTTCTGTCTTGTACATAAAAACTTGTTTTCTTTCCTTTTCCTCAATGTTGCTCGTCTCGCCCCTCGTACTATCTTACTGTCTTCATCACTTAAATTTTTGTATAATTCATCTATAAATTTATAGCGTTTTTGTTCTTTTTCGCACAGCACCTGATAGTGCTCCGACTCATACCACATGTGCTCATATTTATCTTTTTTTATTCCAGTGTAGTGATGACACATTGCAGGTCCATCTCCGTTTACGTAGTGTACACATGTGTTCTTTTTAAACTCCTGAGAAAAGACAAAAATGCACTCTCCGTCCCCAAACTCGTAATCCTTCCTCAAAATTCTCTTAGTGTTTTCCGGGTTGACTCAGTTTTTAATATGTTCAGAATGCAGTAAGATTTTTCTTAGCTGCTTTGCTATCAAGTCCAGATCAAACAGAACAATAAAACTACAAAACAGGCAATTACCATCGCCTTTTATATCTAATAAATACCACTCTTTCCATGGCTCTGCATAATTTCCGTCTGATCCGTGTTTTAGCTCATTAAGTGCATCGTTTGAAATCAATTGGTTCTTTTCACTTGATTCTTCATCATTCAAATTATCGAACGCCCCAGACGTCTCGCCATGTTTAAGGATAGCTTTTCTCCCTGATTATTCCACGAAAGATTTGCTCCTTCGTTGCTGGTCTTACTTTCACTTTTCTCTCTTCTGAGCTTCTCTCCTTACTGTCGTCTCTCTCTTTCCCATGCTCTGATCCATTCAAGCATATTTCAATTTCCTCCAAATTATTGTGTTTAACTTCTGATCTTTTTTCCCAAATCACTATTATATTTCCTTCAGTCTGTGTGTTTTTTACAGGAGTGAAAGAAAAATTTTGTCTAATTCTGATAGAGTGTCGAGCTGCCTTTGTCTTTTCTTCCTTTGCTTTAGATTTGTTTGGTGGTCCATGACGACATAAGATGTGCTCGTTTTTTGTACCCCTTTTATCTAGCCCTTCTCTTTTTTC